TCTGTCTCTGTCTTTCTCTGTCTCTCTGGTGAGCACACGTACCCTATAGCAAAAATCTAAAAGAAAAAAAAAAAAAGAAAAATTATTTTGCTAAATAGTTTTATATATAATTAATTACATAATTTACTTAAAAAATCTAGGAAGCCTAAGAAATATGTTTTAAGTAATCGGTTTAAAGTGAGAATGCAGAATGTACCATAGTCTAGGAGTTCTGTGACAAAATGGTAGATTCTCAAGCTGTATTGGCATCCAGCATATAGGCTAGGCTTATGTTTTTAAGCCCTTCAGCCAAAAACTTTGGTTGTACTTGTAGCTAAACAAGTTATGTTTACTGTTTGTTTCAGGAAGGGAAGAATACTCACTGAAGAAAAAGTACATCAAAAAGGAGATGTTAGGGAAAAAAGTATAGGATTTAGTTATAGTTTAGGTTGGGTTGTTTTGAGATTTCAAGGAAATTTAGTTTTACTCTGCATTGGGTGTTATCTGGAAGTGAGGGCAGTTCTGTGTTTGGGCATGTCAATATATCTTGTCTGTATAGGGAGTGCAGCCTACAGCAAGGATAAAGTTGTAGTTAATTAACTAGCTGTTTCTTATTTAGTGAGAGAGGAGGACATTTGGTATTTTGTGGGTTGCACAGTGACTTAGTCTGACTTTGCTGTTCTGTGAGGTGGTTTTATGAGCAAGTAGGAGAGCATCATGGGTGGCCCAGTAAGAAAACACCATGACTTAGCGGTAAGCATCAGATCGGTTTTTAAAAACATTGAGGCCGGGACCAGCAGTTAGCATAATGGCTATGTTGCTGGACTCCCATGTAGTCGACTGCGGTTCAAGTCCTGGACCTGGTGGCTTAAACTCACGCCGGGCACGTGTGCGTGCATGCCCAAGATCCCGAGAGGAGAGTGGAGGAAAAGGGATTGCGGCGTGGCCATCCCCCCTGGGGGGGTGATTTCTTGCTTTCTATCTCTCTGTCTGTCTCTATCTTTCTGGCAAGGGCATGCATCCTATAGCGAAAACCTCTCCAAAAAAAAAAAAAAAATTGAGGCCTATTTGTAAGCGACAGGAGAGGCTGTTTTTTTTTTTTTTTTTTTTCCCTTGGGCCAAAACAAATATATCCTTCCATTGTATCCCTACTGGAAATGATAACGGCAAGTGGGTATCCAATATAAAAGCCATTTTCTTGCCTCCTGTTCATCTTAGTTCTTAAAGGATTTTATTTTATTCCACTCTTGACACTGTCTTTCTGCAGGACTAAATACTTTACCTCTTTTGTTTGCCTTTATTGCGCTGGCCAGTTGTTACATAGAAATGGTGAGAAAGAAAATTTTGTTTTGGTTCTGATCTGATTTCATCATTAGTTATAGTATCTAGTTTTCTTTGTAGATCACCTTTCTTAGGTTGAGTAAATTTTTTCGGTTCTTAGTTTCCTGAGAGTCTTGGTGAAGTGTAATCATTGAATTTTGTCAAATTAATATCCCATATCTGATGATGTGATCCTTTGTTTGCCCCTCTGTTCTGTTCCTATAATGAATTAAAGTGCTTGAATTTCTTTCCTCTTAAACAATAGAAATCTATTGTCTCACAGTTCTGGAGGCTAGAAGTCCAAAATTAATGTAATGTTGGGGCTGTACTTCCTCTGATGGTGCTAAGGAAGGATTTGTTCCCAGGCTTCTCTCTTAACCTTCTGTTAGTTCCTCAGCTTGTGAAAGCATAATTCCAGTCTTCACATGGTGTTCTCCCTGTGTGCATGTCTGTCTGTATCCAAATTTTTTTCTCTCTAAAAGGACACCAATCATTAGAGTCCACATTAATAACCTTATTTTAACTTGATTACCTCTGTAAAAGCCCTGTGCAGTTGAGGTCACATTCTAAGGTACTGGGAAAAAGAGAGTTTGACAGTTTAACCAGTAACAACCTGCTACTAGATGTTGGTTCAGTTTAGGCAAAACTCATTAGTCAGTCACCCTGGTGGGCATAAAGTAAAACAGAAACACTTCATAACTTGCTCATTATCAGCATTGTTTGACTTTTGTATGTGAAACCAGCTTTGTGTTTTTTAAAATACAGTTCACTTGGTCACATGTAGTATCTCTTTAAAAAACATGCTTCTAAGTAACTCACAGATGAAAAAAGACATCACAATGGAATTAAAAAATAGCTTAACATAATAATAATAATAACTTGAGATGCAACTAAAGCAGTGCTTAGAGGGACATTTATAGCTTTAGATGCATACATGAAAAAAAAAGATTGACAGCTAGTGATTAAAGTTGAAACTTGGACAAATTGAACCCTTTCAGAAAAGTAAGAGAAAAGAAGTAATAAATATTAGAGCAAAAATCAGTGAAAACAGAAAGCATATGTAAAACTGCAAAATATAAGCCAAGATTTTAAAAAGTCCATACTTCACTTAACAAATAGAATTGATAAAAGTCTAGCAAAACTTAGCAAAAAAAGAAAAAATTACAGGTTTTTTTTTTTTTTTTTTACTTTTTTTGGAAACAGCTTTACTGAGAAGTAGTCACATAGATTTAATTCAGCCATTTACAGTGTATAATTCATTGGCTTTTAGCATGCTCACAGAGTTGTATAACAATTACCACAGTTAATATTGGAACATTTTCAGTATCCCATAAATAATTTTTGTACCCTTGAGCTTCTTCCCAAACCCTCTAATCCTAGGTGATCACTAATCTACTTTCTGTCTCTATAGTTTTGGCTATTTGGGACATTTCATTTAGTCATTCAATATATGGCCTTTTGTGACTGGCTTCTTTCACTCAGCATGTTTTCAAGGTTCATCCATGTCAGATTATTTATAAGTAATCCATTCCTTTTTATGGCTACATAATATTCCATTATCTAGATATACCACATTATATTTATCCATTAATTGGTTGCTGGCTGTTTCATTTGCGTTGTTCCCAGTTTTAGGCTGTTATGGATAATGCTACCTTGAATATTAGTGTACAAGGTTTTATTTTTTAAATTATTTTATCTAATTTTATTTATTTTAATTTGACCAGAGAGGGACTGAGAGAGAGAGAGAGAGAGAGAGAGAGAGAGAAAGCGAGCCACCAAGTCCAGTACTCAAATTGTGATTGGCCATGTGGGAGTCCAGCACCTTAACCACCATGCCACCTGCTGGCCCTAGGTGTACAAATTTTTACATGGGATTATGTTTTTATTTCCCTTGGGTTTTTACCAAAGAGTGGAATTGCTGGGTTGTATGGTACTCCATATTTAAAATGTTTAGGAACTACTCTGTTTTCTAAAGCACCTGTAGCATTTACAATCCCACCAGCATTACATAAAGGTTTCATTTTCTCTACATCGTTGCCAACCCTCCTGTTCTCTGATTATAGCTATCCTGGTATATATGAAATGTTACCTCATTATGGTTTTGATTTTCATTTTCCTGATGACTAATGATGTTGGGCATCTCTCCACATTTATTGTTTATGGACTATTGGCTTATTAATGTATTTGTATTTGGTTGTCGGAAAAGTCATGAGGCATTTTTACATAGAAAAATATAGAATAAATACGTCATGATTTTTCTGACAATCCAAATCTGTCTTTTTAAATCCTTTGTGCTTTTTAAAACTGTGTTATTTGGTTTGTATTATGTTAAAACAGTTATACATTCTAGAAACAAATCTTTTATTAGATATGCAATTTGTGAATATTTTCTCCCATTGTGTACATTGTCTTCAGTTTCTAGATAATTTCCTATAATTTGCTTCTAGTTCTATTCATTTAGATATGCCTGGTTGCACATGTAATGTAGTCTTTCTTACATGTTTCTTAATTTTCCTTTTTTTCCCCTTTTCTCTACCTTTTTCTTTACATTTTCCTTTTTTTTTTTTTTTTTTTTTTTTAAATTTGCGAGAGAGCATATGCACTTGCTGGAGAGAGATAAGGGTGAGTTGGTAGGGAATGAGAGAGCAATCCCCCTGGGGGATGGTCACACTGCAGTCCCTTCTCCATTTCTCCTTTTCTGATTTTAAGAATGCATGCTGCACATCAGCTTGGTCTGTTTTCCAAGCTACCATGTCTGGGATCTAACCACAGTTGATCATGTGTGATCCAGCTGCTTTAACCATTGTGCCACTGACTGGCCCCAGTTTTTATCTTTGTTCTCATTTTTTCATCTGCATTTTTACTTTATCTATTTTTTATATGTTTATATACATGAGGTCTTCAGAAATGCTTATGGAAAGTGGTGTATTTTGAAAAAAATATACTGCAGGTATTTCAAACAATTTTGTACCAAATAAACTTGTACATTAAATCCATTTTATCACAGACTTTTTGAAGTCCCCTTCCTTCAGACTATATGAATGTCATATTGAGAATGAAAACTAGTCCACTTTTTTCCTAATATTTTCTACTAATTGATCTACTGTGGACAGTACCTGCTGTGGTTTGAATGTGTTCTCCAAAGTTCATGTGTTCTAAACTTAGTCACCAATGTCACTGTGTTGAGAGGTGGGACCTTTTAAGAGGTGATTAAGTCATGAGGTCTCTGTTGTCATTCATTGATTAAAGCCGATATTGCATGGGTGGGTTTCTGATAAAAACAGAACCGGTTTGACGCCTTCCATACTTGTTCCCTCTTGAATGTATGATCTTTTACCCTGCTGCCTTGTACCATAGATGATTGCAACAAAAGTCCCTCACCAAATTTGGTTTCCTGATCTTAGATTTCCCAGCCCTCAGAACCATGAGCCAAGAATGTTTCTGTTTATTTAAAAATGTTCTAGTGTCAGGTAATCTGTTATGTAGTAGCACTCAGTGGACTAGGACAGTACTCATTATAAATTTTGTATTTCATAAATTCAGTAAGTATGAAAATTAACACACAGCAAGCATTGCCAAGTTTTCTATGTCATTTCAGAATTACGTGAAGTGTGCTGCTTGCTTCTCTTACAAGTTCAATATATAGTAATTAGGTGGCTTCTGTTTCAATCATTAAACTTTTTTTTTCTCTTTTTTTAAAGATTCAAAATGGATAGTATAGAAGAACCTCAGAAAAAAGTCTTTAAGGCTCGAAAGACAATGAGAGTGAGTGATCGTCAACAACTTGAAGCAGTGTACAAGGTCAAAGAAGAACTGTTGAAAACTGATGTCAAGTTGTTAAATGGCAATCATGAAAATGGAGATTTGGACCCAACCTCACCTTTGGAAAATACAGATTATAGTAAAGACAAAGAAGAGGTGAATGGCATTGAAGAGATTTGTTTTGATCCTGAAGAAAGTAAAACAGAATGTAAAGAAACACCTTGTATCTTAACGGTTAACGTTAAAAACAAGCAGGATGCTGATTTAAGCTGTGAACCTCTGCCTCTAAATAATATAACTCCTGAACCATCCTCTAAACTGACCACTGAACCAGCTTCTGGTGATCCACTCTCTAGTGATCTGGCCACTGGAGATCTAGCCTCTGGAGGACTGGCCTCTGGTGATTCCATTTCTGGTGTTCCCACCCCTGGTGATCTCACTTCTGGTAATTCTGCCTCTTGTGATCCAGCCTCTGGTGATCCTGCCTCTTGTGAACCAGTCTCTGGTGAACCATTTTCTGGTGAACGGGTCTCTGGTAAACTGTCCTCTGGTGATTGTGCCTCTGATGACCCTGCCTCTGGTAATCTGACCTCTGGTCATCTGGCCTCTGGAACACAAGCCTCTGTTGACCCTTCCTCTGTTGATCCTGCCTCTAGTGAACTTGCTTCTGTTGATCCTGCCTCTGGTGATCTGCCTGCTGGTGAACTGGCCTCTGGTGAACTGGCCTCTGGTGAACTGGCCTCTGGTGAACTGGCCTCTGGTGAAGTGACTTCTGAATCAGCCTTTGATCCTACCTTTGAACCATGTCCTGTACCAGCTTGTGAACCTGCTGCTGAAACTGACAATACACAGCTGAATAGCAATAAGGATGATGATTTTCTTGAAAAAAATGGGGATGATGAAAAATTAGACCAAATTCAGAGTAAGGACTCATTTGATGAGAAAAATAAAGCTGATATTAATATTGATGCCAATAAAGAAACCCTAGAAACAGATGATGCAATTATTTGTTCAGATTTACCTCCTGAAAATGAGAAGAAGGTAGAGGAAGATACAGAGCTTGCTTTTGGAGAAGAGGCTATATCTAGCAGTATGGAAGTTGACCATCATGAAAAGAATGAAGAAGAAAATTCTGCGGATCTTATAGAAACCATTCGTGAAAATGTTACAAAAGATGACAAAAGTGAGAATATCTTAGAAAGTACGGATTCTATGGAGACAGATGAAATCATTCCTATTTTGGAAAAGCTTGCACCAGCTGAGGATGAACTTACTTGCTTTTCTAAAACTTCTCTTCTTCCAATTGATGAGACAAATCCAGATCTGGAAGAGAAGATGGAAAGTTCTTTTGGTTCACCATCTAAACAAGAAAGTAGTGAGAGTTTACCAAAAGAAGCTTTTTTGGTCCTCTCTGATGAAGAGGATATTTCAGGTGAAAAAGATGAATCTGAAGATACATCACAAAATGAGGCATGCTCTCCAGGTTAGCAGATTGTTTAAATTTTCAAGATTTTTTTTTTAACCTATAATGAATTGCTTAATGAAACATTCTTACAAAGTTTTAAATTTATTTTAGTTGCAGAAAAAGTTGATAACAGTGAAGAACCTATAGAAGATTCTCTTAACTTCATAGAATTTAGAACTTAAAAGTGATCACTTTGTGAGAAGCTAAATGTTCAGAGGGGAGCCAAGTAGAAAATACGGTCCTTGACTGTAAAGGGTTTATAGTTTAGGAATACAGATGAATTGGACCAACGTAACACTGAGATAACAATTTTAGTCAGTGCATAGATCAAAGTCCTAAGCACTGTTCTTTTTTGCTGTCACTTAGTGAATAAAATAGAATTTTAAGGGCTACTAGTTTAATTTACTTGCTTCATGTAACACATCATATTATCAGTTAATTTTCCCAGTGAAATCTTATTCCTTAATATATGTCTAGAAATGACACCACCTTAATGGAAGTCAGAAATCTCAACTGCTGATTGTCTACTATATTTGATAAAGACTTTATCCATTTGCTTCCTCAGTCCTGTTGATTCTAACCAATTTTTAATTTTTTAATTTTTATTTTTTGAAGATGTTTTTGCTGTAGGGTGTGTGCACTTGCCAGACAGAGACACAGAGAGAGAAAGTGAGAAATCACCTCCCAGAGGGGATGGCCATGCCGCAATCCCTTCTCCTTCATTTTCCTCTTTGGATCTTGGGCACACATACACACGTGCCCAGTGGGAGTTTAAGCCACTGGGTCTGGGACTTGAACCGTGGTTGACTACCTGGGAGTCCAGTGACATAGCCATTACGCCAACTGCTGATCTCCTAACCTTTTATCTTCACTGTTCTCTTCTGAATGATCACTCTATAAGCCAGATCTTTAATTTGATTGTGTCTGCTTCATTACATCCCCTTACTTTTTTTTTTTTTCTTTTTTTTAAGGTTTTTGCCATAGGCAGTGTGCATTCACCAGAGAGATGCGGAGAGACAGCAAGAGGGAAAGTGAGAAATCACACCCCGCCCCCAGAAGGGGGGGGCGGGGCAAATGTCCACACCACAATCCCTTCTCCGTTCTCCTGGGATTTTGCTCCCAGCATGATTTTTAAGCTCCCAGGTCTGGGACTCAGACTGCTGTCAGCCATGTGGGAGTCCAGTGCTGTAACCACTACACCACCTGTTGGCCTGGATCCATGTTACTTTTAAATTAATTACAAACTCCTTGTGTAAATGGTATATAAACTTCATGATTTGTTCAGTACCTACAACTTCATGGTCTTTTATTATTCATACAGAAAAAAGACAATGAGAAAAATTCTACTTTGCTTTCATGGTGAAACCTTAAACATTACTTGTGTGTGGAACTTTCTTTAGTTACTCATACCAACATGAGTATCTTTCTGTTCCCACTGTATCACTTTCTCTTAGACTTGAAGCTCTGAGAGGAGTGATTTTGCTGTCATGAAACACAATATGTGTTTTCTAGTTTGTTCAAAGAAAAAACAAGAGCAGGACTGAGAGACATAGAAAAAATTTTTTTGCCCAGTACATCAGTACCAGCTTTTGTAGGTAGACTTTATTTTTCTTACTAAAAGATTACTTATTTCCAAAGAACATTTACTAAGCTATATAGACAGACAGGAAAAGACCCTTCTTGGTTCTAGGGATTTGAAGATAAAATTCAATACTTGCCCTCAGTATGCAAACAAGGATTAAGTCATAGATCATCACATACAAGATTATGAATATAGTGATGGTGTTAAATTGGTATTCTGGGATTGTAGAGAAGAGTGACTTTATAAAAGCACAAGATAGAGATCAACAGATGACTTAATGGTTACATCACTGAACTCCCACATAGTTAATTGCAGTTTGAGTCCTAGACCCAGTGGCTTAAAACTCATGTTGGGCACATGTACGTGCATGCCCAAAATCCTGAGAGGAAAATGGAGGAGAAGAGATTGCAGCATGGTCATTTTTCCTGGGTGGTCATTTCTTGCTTTCTGTCTCTCTCTCTCTCTCTCTCTCTGTCTGTCTCTCCAGCAAGTACACTTACCCTCTAGGGAATAAACCTCTCTTAAAATAAAGAAAAGCACAAGATATATTCAGGAAAGCCTTGCCTTTCATTATCTGCATAACATAGGGTTTTTTGTTTTTGTTTTTAAACACTGAACTTTTTTATTCTAATTTTTGTTGTTTTCTTAGATTTTTGCTACAGGGCATGTGTGCTTGCCAGAGAAAAAGAGAGAGAGAGAGAGAGAGAGAGAGAGAGAGAGCAGGTTAGATGGCAAGCGAGAAAGCAACCT